TACAAGCGGTCTTCCAGGTCTTCTGTAATTCAGCCCAGATCTTCTACCAGATCTTCTTCTGTCTCTTCTACCAGATCTGTCAGCGCCTCAAAACTGTTTCTGACTTCACAGTTGAACTCTTCTTTTTTTCTTACCATCTTTCAAAAACTGAATGTTAAATTTATGGTGTGGTCTGCCTGAAGAGTCACAGGAGGATCTCAGCTTGGTCTTCAGTGTTGCCACAAGCAACTGATATAATTACAAACAATAATATAAAATTTTAATCTCCTACTTTCTTGATTTGTCAAGATATCAATAAATTTGTCAAACCCACCAGAGAATACCTCCTGTGCTTCGATGTCTTACAATACAATCATATAATTATGTTTGTATTGCTGATAAACATGTTTATAAACAACAAAAAGAGCTGATTCTCTTCTACATAAATATAATAGAATTTATTTATGTCTGTAATTGAGAAGTGGTAATGTTTTGTTGAGTAAAGCTGTTGATTTGAGCAGTAACAGTGTTTTTAATATATTTATTGTCTAGTTAGAAATCTAAGTAAACTAAACATCCTGTTCTAATGACTGATATATTTTTATGTTCTAAAATGGATATTTGAAAGGTACATTCAAGTTTTTTTTATAACAAACATAGAGAAATAAAATGAGGCATGGAGTTATACATGCAAGTGCAAAGTTTGAAAGTTCCCATGCAAAGAATGTGCAATGTAAGAGAAACTGCTAATATGTTCTTGCTGTGATTTATTGCTTTTACTGGATAGATAAACTACTTGTGTGTTATAAGCCAATCAATAAAATTATCAATTTCAAAAACAAAAATGGGAAATGGGAACAATTGCAATTTTGAAGATATGTAATTTAAAAATCTTATCAATTATGCATTCAAAGAAGAAAAATTGTATTGTTCATTTTTTTTCATATTTTAAACTTGGAACTTACTAATCAATTAATCATTGAGCTCATTTATTAATTACATTCAGCTGATTGTCACATGAGATGTTTAAAAAAAAATTATAATGCTAAAAATGGGGTTTTGATATCCATGGTGGGCAGAGCACAGATGGCCTGTTGTGCTGCTTAGTGTTTAACAACAAATAAGCATAATGGCAATATTTTGATTACTCAGATAGTTGGAATAATCATAAATAGTAATAATAAGAAGCACTAATTTTCTCCTTTCTCTTAAATTGTATTTTTTGTGGTGGTTGGGTTGTGAATGTCATTGGTCAGATTTGTTTACAATCCATGTGCTTTGGACTCTTTATCATTCCACAGTTGTCTTGCTTTACCCCAATAGGTCTTTTCTTCCTAATAGTGTGGCAGCTAAAAAAGGGGATAGATCCTTCTCACCAATCCACTTGCAAGCCATTTCTCACCATTATGATCACTCTGATCCTGACCATTTATTATGTCCTGTTAGGGCCCTTAAGTGTTATGTAGCTTGTACTAATTAATTTAGAGGTAGTAGGAATTGTTTGTTCATTCATCGGAATCCCTCTATTTCTTTTGACTTATCTCCCATTACCCTAACGAGGTGGCTTCGTAAATTGATTCACATGGCCTATAATAGACTGTCGTTACAGGAGAGGAATCTTTTTGCATCTTGACAGATTCATCATATCTCTATGCCAACAACTGCCTGGTTAAATTTCCCTCTGGAAGACATTTCGCAGTCTGTAGCTATTTTGACCATATCTGCTAGATTTTAACCAGAGGTGAGTGTTTTCCTCTGTCATACTTTTTTTTTCTAGGGTCCCTTTATTTTTCACTGGATCCCACTCTGTGGTGAGTGTTGCCAAGGCAGGTATGCTTTCTCTTTTTAATTTTGCACTAGCACCAACTTTCACTATAATTACCACAGGTTGTAACAGGCTCTGTCGAAATTGAGTGTTCCATAAGACCATCTAGGTGCCAACCGGATGGTATTACCTTATTATAATGAACCGCCAGTTCCAGTTGCTGGGGTGGCAGAAAGGGGCTTTTCCTCCTACTCAGGTCCCTGGATGTTTTTCCCAGATATCAGTATGGGTGTCACCACCCTCCTCGGGAGACTACTCATAATTCCGGTTCAGATTTGACACGAAGGTATCCAGGTTGGGGGGGGGGGGGGGTGCATGACCTTTCTCTTTGATCAATGTCTGTTTCGTATATTGTTAATGGAGGGAGGTCCACTATCTCCTCATAATTCTGAACACAAAGTGGTCCTGTCCTAGGTCCTTGGTTGAGCACAAGTTCCATATCCTTTCCATAATTCCAGGGGCAAGTGGAATGCTCCTTGCCCACTTGGTTGGGGAGTGAAGATGAATATTCGTAATTCCAGACCAGATGAGTTCTGTTGCTATGGTTGAGTACGGCATACATGATCCCATCATTCCGAGCCCGGGGTGTTGCCTTTTGAACTTCTTCAGGTGGAGGAGAAAATTTGTCCACTTCGGTGTTTCTTACTTTGTCATCGTGATTCTTGTGGTGTGGAACACATCACTCTATGGTTACAGGTTGGGATCCAATTAACAGTAAAATATAATATTGCAGTCCAATAGCCCTAGCCACCAACGTGGGATATAGGTACCATGACCCCTTAATTCCAACTTGAGTTGTTCAATCTCAGCTATCTGGTTGGGGCTGGCCTATACTGATGATTACTCGTATTCTATTCCAGTTTTGATATAGGAACTGAGTTCCTGGTGAAGAGCATACCTGTTCTTGATGTAGTGCAGTTCCCCACTCTTGTACCTTGTTTATCTTGGTTCACTTCTGTTCTATACAGATACTTTCTGTATGGTTCATGCTTGCAACAGCCCCTTCACCTTCTCAATGTGGGATTCTAGCTATAGTGTCAGCGGAGGTAAGTATGTTTTGGAAGTTAACAGTTAACATCCTAAACTGAAAATGTATTTCGAATGATACTTACCTCCACTGACACTCTCTCACCCTACCTCCCCACTAAAAGCCGGTTCATGTCTTGAAAAAGTGATTACATTATCTGAATAAGGTGCTTACATACTGTATCTAGATAGAAGGAGCATTGAATTTTGCAAATTAGAATTTGCCAATTGGGGGGTATAAAAGACTGGAGCAAATGTTTTCAATGCTCAGATGGGCAAAGAATGGAAACCCTTGAGATCGAGAAATAGCTATAGTGTCAGCGGAGGTAAGTATAATTGGAAATACATTTTCAGTTTAGGAAAATGTTAACTTCATATCTTTTTTACTCTTTCTCTGCATTACTAATGTTTATTTTTTATTTTCGTTAAACCCTTTACAAAGTTTTCACTTTAAATGTGTCACTTTGTCTTAACATTGAAAATAATTTTCTACAGTTTTCAACCCCATTTTCTTTCTGTGTTTTAAATTTTTTGAATCACCTTAAGAATTTCAAGTAAAAAAAACACAGCTCCCATGGTACTTTTGTTCAAAGAATTGAATTTAATAAAAATCTATACAAATGATAAAATGATTCTGTGTAATATTTTTTAAATTATAAATTACAGTATGCTGTTCTACAATAGAAGTCAAACTAAACAGCTGTGTTTGTTTTGTGATCAAGAGGGTGAAAATTGCAGAACATCTGGATGCAAGTGATCATTGCTTTATTAGGTTCAATGTTTTGCTGCATGTGGGGATAAGGAATAATGATACTTTGGTTACAAATAAAAAAAAACAAATTTTGAAGGGATGCGACAAGAATTGTCTACTGTGAATTGGGCAACTGAATTATTTGGAGACACTGATCAGATGTTGAAAATTTTTAAAGATGAATTTTTAAGTAGTCAAGGTAAACATATTCCTTATAGAAAGAAAAGGGTAGCTGCAAGTTAAAAACCAGGATGACTTGCAAAGAGTATATGAGATAAAATTAAAGAAAAAGCATCATAAATTTAAGGAATTTAAATTGACTGGTATGATAAGAGATTTAGAAAATTATAGAAGATCAAAAAAGTTGGTGAAACAGGAAATTAGGACATCAAAAAGGAGTATGAGAAAAGGTTGGCTGGAAATGTAAAAATTAACAGTAAGGATTTCTTTAAATACATTAAGGGTAAAAAATGTTTGGATGGGGGTAGAACCCTTGAGGGATCATAAAGGCTTGTATTTGATGGTTATGAGATGGCTGGGTTATTAAATTTTACTTTTTCTTTGTTTTTTTCTAATGAAGATTCAAGCAGTATTCCACATCTTGAACAGTTGATAAATGGAAACAAGTTCAAACAGGATGGTTGCATTAATTCTGAGCTGGTTTACAAAAATTGGGAAATTTAAAGAACAATAAGGCTCCTGGGCCAGATAATATTTCCCCGACAGTTTTGAAGGAGGTTAAAGATTGGGTATGTAAGCCACTTGCTACTGTTTTTTTTTCAGTCCTTGAATAGTGGGCAGGTAACAGAGGATTGGAAGTTAACTAATGTAACTCCTCTTTTCAAGGGAGGTGATAAAAATTGTCCCAGTAATTATAGACCTGTTAGATCAGTTACATCAGTTGTGGGAAAGGTTTTGGAAAGTCTGATAAAAGATGCTTTGCAAAGTCATTTAACAAAGTTTAGAATTTTATTGGGTAGTCAGCGTGGTTCACTAAGGGAAAATCTTGCCTAAGAGATCTTTTGACATTCTTTGAAAAGGTTACTACTTATGTAGATGAGGGCAAGAGTGTAGATATGGTGTATCTGAATTTTCAGAAATCATTTGACAAAGTGCCACATAAAAGGCTTGTAAGAAAAATTATCTCTATAGATGTGGGGGTATAAGCTTGCAAATTGAATAGAAGAGTGGCTGGATGAAAGAAAACAGAGGGTTGTTATAAATGGAGTTCAGTCAAACTGGATTAATGTCACAAGTGGGGAACCTCAGGGCTCAGTCTTAGGACCTTTGCTCTTTTTGATTTACATCAATGATATAGATGAAGTAATGGTCAATAAATTACTTAAACTTGCAGATGATATTAAGGTCTTGTTATAAGTATAAATAACCTTAACAGTATCATGAAAGAAAGGGATCTTGGTGTTGGATTGGTGCAGGACCAACCAACATACGTTATCATTCAGTTGTAGTTCAGATGTTACATTCCTGTTCAACCTCACTGGTCTTGAAGTGAAAATGGTAGGGACCCTCCTCCTACTACATATTGAAACCAAATTCCTGGTGCCATCTGGTTTTGGACCCTCTTTGTATGGTCTGATTTACTCTAGCCATACTACATGTGGTGCTTCTGAAAGCTTGTTGCAAGTGTTGAATTGTGTTTGTATCTTTCTCCACTAATTATGACACTCTCTTCCCTTATTGCTTGGATGAAGAGTGTACCCTGGTACAGATGAAATGTGGTCTGTCATGAATGTGACTTTACTATATTTTTCAAAAGTGTAGGGTATCACACTTCATGGGCCCCTTTCAGATGCTTCCAGAAGAGGTCTCATTCAGGTAAAAGTTTACCCCAGTTCCTTCACCACTCCAATTTGAGATTCTAGCTATATATGAGTGGAGGTTACATATTGTATTGGAAGTTAATATTTTTCAACATTGAAAATGTATTTCTGATAGATACTTCTTCTCACAATTCCCACCCTTCCTTCCCACTTCTGGTGCATCTTATTTTATTGCCTGATCTTGAAGTGATGATTGAACAACCAATCAACTGCAATAGGAGGGTGTGTTGCACTCATATTGGTGAAGGGATGTTGCATGTTCATTTGCATGTGACAATGCAGCAATATTACATGGAAATGTGAGTTTAGGTGGGAGCCTTAAGGCTAGTGGTGAGAGAAAAAAGTTCAAATGTAGGGGCTGCACTTAATTCGGGAAAGCAGGTAAGTACCTATTGGTGTTTTCAGTGTTGAAAAATGTTATCGTTTGAGCTTTTGAGAGTTAAATGAGTGACTAAAGTATATAACTGGTTATGAAGTTGCATCTTGAAACAGTCAACTCTGTTTAGAATGTTTTATAGCTTGTGTGTTTTATTTTGTAAATATTTGCCACCTATTTGCTTTTCAGAAACAGAAGTGAAATGGAAGAATGTAAGAAGTTAGCAGAAGACATCAAATACTTAGCAGAAGAAACTTTGACTTTACTCTCTACTACTTCTGATGAAAGTCTTACCTTACAACAGCAGTTATTAGAAGTTGTTAATCATCTTCAAAATGCTAAGTCTGTTCTCGAAAAAAATTCATTGAATAAACCCAATTCTCAGCAGCATTATACCGTAGATTTTGATGTATGTTTTTTTTTTTACTAATCTTGATCATTTATGCATATATAGTGTTTTTCAGAATGCTTAATTTGTGAATCTGTTATTTAATTAGTTTGACCATTTGTATCTAAAAATATTGCATATGTAGAACAGTTAAAGCAAAGCTCATTTATCTGTCTAAAATACATTGATTTTTTTGTTAGGTAAAAATAGTAGAGTACAAACTCAATATTTTGGATTGTGGTTTACTTGTACTATTTTCTATTTGTATATTTTGAATATTGGAATTAATAATTATAACTAAATTTTCTAAATGCTTACACTATAAAAGGTTCTGAAAGTTTATTTAATTATTTGAAGTTAATTTTCATTGTTCATCTTTATATCTAACTAGCATATAGCTCATCAAAAATGATGGGGCAAGTACTACCACCCCCACCCCATAGTACACCCTAACCTCATATTTCATAACTAATTGAAATAAATAAATTTTGCAGTTTAGCAGTAAAAAATTAATCCTGAATTGTGATATGTGAAAGTTTTTGTCATATTAAAGGAGATTAGTTCAAAAGTGTGATTAGTTTTATGTGAGAATAATTGATTTGTTGAATGTAAATGATTAATGAGCCAAGCATATGATTATTAATGAATTCTGGTAGCTACCCAGCTTTAATTATAGTAAACATTAGTATGTAACTGTTTTCGCTGATATAGAAAAAAGTAAAATAGGTAAAGTCTGTTAAATATTTACAACTCACACAGATATTTTTATTTTCTAACCCCAATAAATAAACAGACAGATACAGATGAAGATCTTATAGGCAAAGATGATGTTGATCTACTTGAGACAGAAGATATTGATCAAGAAATGATAAGAGTGAGTTTAATGGTCAAGAAATTAAGAATTACAAAGTATGTTCCTCACAGTCTTAACCTTCTGATTAGGTAATCCTTTACAAACAAAAGTAATGTTCAAGAATTACAAACAATATAGGTTTATTTTGGATATTTTATTGGCACTTCCTGTATGACAAAGTAAAAATCTTAATATTTGAATGTATTTAAAAACGTACCATTACAATGAAGTACGACTCTACATTAGAGCTGGGCATTTATTTTTATTATTGATGTAATCAATTAACAATGAGCATTGATAAACATTGATTAATGTCATGTAAAATAATTGACAAATCAAAATTATAATTAAAAAATTGTTATGAAATAAGTCAACTAATCAAAATATGTGTGTCCAATAATTAGTGTTTTTGATTGTTCTACAAGAAGAACCATTGGCTGAAGAGCAGTGTTAACTCTCTAAGCCCATAATTTGCTTGTTCTTATGGAATTATTTTCATGATTTTCTAATGATTATCACCATACCTTATAAAATTCCAATTAAATAGATTGACGTTATGAAATTAGTCAACCAATAAAAATAAGTGTCCAATAATTCATGTTGATTGTTCTACAAGAAGAACCATTGTCTGAGAAGCAGTGTTAACTCTAACCCTTTTGAGACGGGTCACAGGTAAAAGGCCATGTCATCTCGTTTGTTGACTCACATTCAAAATTTTATTGAACTGCTATTTCATGAATTTATATCAATAAGTTTGATATCAAACTGTAGACTATAATTCAAATGTTAGAGCTATACATTAATCAATTTATTAATTTAAAAGTAAATATTAAAAACACAGATAAACATTGATTTTTGT